TCCTTTGCCTTTCCTTTAAATAATTTCATGTTAATTCTTCTTTTCATTATGGTACATAGACTTTACGAATTTAAGCACAGTACTAGATTGGTGGCAAGGTCTCATCATTTTACAGTTGAAATGGCTAGATGTAACCGTAAGTTCTATGCTAACAGTTTCTTCTCTCACATAAGATTCACTTATTGACATCTCGGCTTCAGTCACTTTCCTACCACCATAATGTAGCTTTCCTGTGCCTTTCCTTTAAATAATTTCATTCTAAGTCTTCTTTTCACTATGGTACATAGACTTTACGAATTTAAGCACAGTACTAGATTGGTGGCAAGGTCTCATCATTTTACAGTTGAAATGGCTAGATGTAACCGTAAGTTCTATGTTAACAGTTTCTTCTCGCCCATAAGATTCACTTATTGGCATCTCGGCTTCAGTCACTTTCCTACCACCATAATGTAGCTTTCCTTTGCCTTTCCTTTAAATAATTTCATGCTAATTCTTCTTTTCACTATGGTACATAGACTTTACGATTTTAAGCAGAGTACTAGATTGGTGGCAAGGTCTCATCATTTTACAGTTGAAATGGCTAGATGTAACCGTAAGTTCTATGCTAACAGTTTCTTCTCTCACATAAGATTCACTTATTGGCATTTCGGCTTCAGTCACTTTCCTACCACCATAATGTAGCTTTCCTATGCCTTTCCTTTAAATAATTTCATGCTAATTCTTCTTTTCACTATGGTACATAGACATTATGAATTTAAGCGCAGTACTAGATTGGTGGTAAGGTCTCATCATTTTACAGTTTTCTTCATTACCAGCAAGCCTCGGGCTTCAAAAATTTAAATGCAATATCAATCACCTCTATTTTTTTCTTGATTACCTTTCTATTGTTCTCGCTTTATGATAATGTGTCCGTTTTCTAATTTTTCACACCCACTAATGCCTTGCGTCTTAGTGGCTTTACTGCCTTGCATAGGTGATTTCGATTAAAAATAAAAAATAGGACAAACCTTATTTACATTATTTACATTGTTCAGACTGTTGTTTTCATCTTTACAGTCATGTTCACGACGTTTCGGCCGCTGTACGCCTCGGACTTTTTCAGGTGACTGTAATTTCAAACTGAACCCTTTATTTCGTCCACCGCGGTATATTGTTCTAGTTCCATGTGTCATGCCTCTTCCGGATATCTCAGTTATCTCCCTTTAACTCAACTAAATGTTTTGTTCACCACTGTAGTAGCCAGATATTGAACTCACAACTTTTTGGGTCAAGACACTGGATCCAACCTTCGCTTTTATTAATTGCGGATTCAATACCTGATTACGGCAGTGGTGAACAATTTGGAAGGTTGAGTTAAAGGGAGATAATTGAGGCATCCGGAAAAAAGTATGGCACGTAGTATCTACCCCGGTGGACGAGATAAAGGGTTCAGCTTGAAATTCCAGTCACCTGAAGAAGGCCGGAGCGTACAACGATCGAAACGTCGTAAATATGACAATAAAGATGAGGAAAACAGTCTGAACAATGTAAATAATTAAAATACCTCATTTCAAAAATGTAGATAGGAGAATCCTTTGTCAAAATGCCATTGGCCACCATGATAGGATAAAGATCCGTTACTCTGCATGTCTGACAGACATGAGGAAGGCACGAGTCCTACATTGGATAAGAAAATGATTGATAGAAATAAATAGAAAAGAAATCCCTGAAATAATATGGTATTGATTTCTGGCTTTTCAATAATCCCTGAAGCACTTAAATGATTGTTTTGCGAATCAAAATCAATTCAGATTAATTTAACTTAATTTTCTTTTTGCGTTCATTGGATGACACAATTAACTCGTAAATTTGCAATAAAAGTGTTTTTGTCAGTATTTTTTTATTTATTTATTGTTATTTAGATCCCTTTTGCCAGCGACGCCAGGTGGCAGTGTCTTTGTTATCAAAATGGCAGACTGTTGCAGGATGATTTTCGAGGCCGGGAGATAAAAAAAAACCCGTCTCTGTTGAAGAGCAGGATACAACAATTGTAAAACATATGTCTTCGCACCCCTCATCGTTAAAATAAATGTTATGGGGTCCACCTCTTTTTCATACAAGTGGACTCGACCAGTGTGTACTTGGACTTCTGCCGGTGAATACCCGACAGAGATACACTGATACAGTGAGGGAGTGAGAGAGTAAGAGTGTGAGTTAACCGCTTTGTAGGAGTCACAGTTGCGAGCACGTAGACTCAGAAGGAAGTCCTACTTCGATACTGAATTTCCCAGACTGTATATATATATATTGTTGCCACTAACCGCATTTCTGGATCTACTAACCGTATTACCAATTGTATTATTACGTCAATACATTTATTTGCTATATTTCATTCCTGCGTTTGTCATTCATTTGAGACCAGATTTCATCCCGGAATCCACAGTAAACAAACAGGGATTTCTTTAATTATCATTTTTCTCATTTGGTGGAGCAGACCCCGTCGTCATCATCGACGGAGTTCATTATAAAAAATACAAGTGCTGAAACTGTGGATGGCAGATCAAGTGAAAAGACAAGAGTTAATAAGGCCTACAAAGGACGAGTTTATAGAGAGCCATGATCGCCCACGTCCTGGAGGAACGCGGCACATAGAAGCAGAGGAATTTTAAACTGAAGTTTCTCACAGAATTCGGAAAGTCAAAATAAATGCAACAATAGCTAACTAAATTTTCGCGCTTTAAGGATTATAACCTGTCCATTGAATGAAGGCGCAGTTGAACGTGACAATCTGTTGTCGCTTGTGATGCTTTAAAACACAAGGAGATGAATACTCGACTTTGAGACACAAAAAGCATTGGAGGATTAACTCGGACCCGTGTATTTGATACGGAGCATTCCCAGATAGTTACCGTCCTGAGTATGACGATAAACTACGTCCGCGTCCTGGGTAAGACGATAAACTACATCCGCGTCTTGGGTATGACGATAAAATACATCCGCGTCCTGGATATGACGATAAACTACGTCCTGAGTATGACGATAAACTACATCCGCGTCCTGGGTAAGACGATAAACTACGTTCTGGGTAAGACGATAAACTACATCCGCGTCCTGGGTAAGACGATAAACTACGTTCTGGGTAAGACGATAAACTACATCCGCGTCCTGGGTAAGACGATAAACTACGTCCTGGGTAAGACGTTAAACTACGTCCTGGGTATGACGATAAACTACATCCGCGTCCTGGGTAAGACGATAAACTACGTCCTGGTTAAGACGATAAACTACATCCGCGTCCTGGGTAAGACGATAAACTACATCCGCGTCCTGTGTAAGACGACAGACTACGTCCGCGTCCTGGGCATGACGATAAACTACATCCGCGACCTGGGTAAGACGATAAGCTACGTCCAACAGCAAGGCCTCTGATCAGGAGGTTTTGAGAAGCGTGGAACCACCTCTTAATTGCTGATGTTCCCAGGTCCACTCTGACCCGGGGTGGTAGCACGTGTTAGGGTCACAGCTATGAGCAAATAGTTTACACCCAAACTTTTGTAAAAATAGGTTTTAATACAGAAATACTTTGTAATAAAAAAATTATTACCAGCAATATTTTTTGAAGGAAAAATTATTATCAGCAATACGTAAAAAAAAAAAAATACCAGCAATACAAATAAGTTATACATTCTTTAAAAAAAATATGACCAGCTATAGATTTTTTCAAGAAAAAATATTCCCAGAAATAGATTTTTGAAGAAAAACATATGAGCAGCAATAAAAGTTTTATCAGCATTGAGGTTGATATACCGTAAAAGCAAACAAAGCAAACGAGATAGTTATAAGATTAGTGAGATTGTTTCTCTTAAAATCCTGAAATGTTCTATAACGCACAACATCTTTAATAATCAAAAATCATTTTCCATAAAATGAAATGCAATTAATCTAACTTGTATGCATTCCCCACATATGAAAGGAAATATTAAAATTACTTCTCTTAATATTTCTTAATTAATGCACATGGGTCATGTGTAATCTGGAGATGTCTGTATATATTAAAGGCAGCAATAAAAATGATTTATTTGCAATAAATCCAGTTTTGTTACAAAGTTTCTTGCATTATTCATGTTCTTATACAGATTTTAACAAATTAAAATGATTTTTGTGATATGAGTAAAGTCCCCAAAACAATAAAATTATATCAATTCATATATGATGATATGAACATGAAATGCGATCAAGTTACTCACAAATAAATATATTCTAATATTGACCCATATATATATATATATATTTCAAGAGAAACAATGGTAAAATTGCTACTTTAGTAGTGCACTCTGCTAGTGGGATACAGAGATAAACACCGGATGTGCGCCCAAGTCGACCAACTAAGCAAATTTCGACTGTTCCCCTAATGCGGTTAAAGAGCCAAGTTTTTTTTTTTTTTTTACAGTGAGAGTTACCCTTTCAAGGCCCTGGGCCATTCGAGGTAGGGAGTTACGTTAGGAGGCCATTAGATTATTATCATCCTGTTGGGGACATGTTGTAGAGAATGTGGGTGGTTTGCTACTATGTGAGTGGCATGGCGTGTTCTTGTCAGGAAGGTTTGCCTTGGCGGGACCAGGAAATATAGTTCGTCCGAGCACTTTCCATGAAACAAGCGTTAGAGCAGCGATAGGCTTGTCGCATCCAACCTATGGGAGATGTGTTGAAGGATGGAGAATAATTCGTCACCCACAAAAGGGCTCGGAGAAACTTTTGAACCCTATCAAGACTCGAGAGTAAGGTTTTGGCAGCTCCTGCTCAGATATACCACAACCCTACTCCATTTTTGGCCTGATATATAGCTCTTGTAAAGTGAACAGTTCATTATTTATGGGGTATAGGCAGCGTGTTTCTTGCTTTCGTTCTTTCTCTCCTTTTTCTTTCTTTCTTTCTTTCAATGAAATCAGGTAGAGTCTTTGAAATGTCTTTTCCGTCTTCCTTAGCGATCAAAACAAAACAATTCATTATTTATGAGTTAGCAGGATCTTTCTTTCTTTCTTTCTTTCTTTCTTTCTTTCTTTCACTAAGACTAAGGAGCTTCTCTTTCGTTCTTTCTCTCCTTTTTCTTTCTTTCTTTCTTTCTTTCTTTCTTTCTTTCTTTCTTTCTTTCCTTCTTTCTTTCTTTCTTTTTCTTTCAATGAAATCAGGTAGAGTCTTTGAAATGTCTTTTCCGTCTTCCTTAGCGATCAAAACGAAACAATTCATTATTTATGAGTTAGCAGGATCTTTCTTTCTTTCTTTCTTTCTTTCTTTCTTTCTTTCTTTCTTTCACTAAGACTAAGTAGCTTCTCTTTCGTTCTTTCTCTTTCTTTCTTTCTTTCTTTCTTTCCTTCTTTCTTTCTTTCTTTCTTTCTTTCTTTCTTTCTTTCAATGAAATCAGGTAGAGTCTTTGAAATGTCTTTTCCGTCTTCCTTAGCGATCAAAACGAAACAATTCATTATTTATGAGTTAGCAGGATCTTTCTTTCTTTCTTTCTTTCTTTCTTTCTTTCACTAAGACTAAGTAGCTTCTCTTTCGTTCTTTCTCTTTCTTTCTTTCTTTCTTTCTTTCTTTCTTTCCTTCTTTCTTTCTTTCTTTCTTTCTTTCTTTCAATGAAATCAGGTAGAGTCTTTGAAATGTCTTTTCCGTCTTCCTTAGCGATCAAAACGAAACAATTCATTATTTATGAGTTAGCAGGATCTTTCTTTCTTTCATTCTTTCTTTCTTTCACTAAGACTAAGTAGCTTCTCTGATATATCCTTTCCGTCTTTCCCCCAGATGAAAACGGAATAATCGATTATTTATGTAGGTATTGCCTGGGTGTAACGTTCGTGATAACAAAGGTACTAAGGAAAGGACAATCAGAATTATAATAAGATATTATTTGTGTATATTTCTTGCTTTGTATCCTGTAGAGCCGGGTTCAAACTATGGTCCTTAGGCCCTATAGGAGAATTGTCATTTAATTGATAGCACTTTTCTTAGTATATGGAATGTTTTTAGTAGGGCGATCTTTTGGGCAATTTGTATGTTGATGTTACCTGGGACACTGTTAGTAAAATTGTTCGTTCCTTTTTTCACGAGGCCCAGTGCTCCGATTACTATTGGTACAGTCTCAGTCTTTATTCCCCACATCCTGTTAATCTCGATCCCCGACAATTTCTCTATAATTTTCATGGAGTTGTTTCTCCCACATGGTACTGCTATATCAATAAGCATACACTTTCTGACTATTTTGTCTTTTATGATAATATTAGTTATGTCCCTATCATTTTGAATTGTCATATCCCAGAGGATAGTCACATCGTTATTTTGGGTAACTGTCTCTGGCTGGTGCTCATAGTATCTCTCAATGGTTTCGATTTTGTACTTTTTGCATATCTTCTAATGCATATACATTGTATGTCTGTGAGTTTATATAGTAGATATTATGTTCGTTATGTCTGTAGGTATATCTGGCAAATATTATTATTATTGCATATTATCGGTAGATTCAGCTAAACTTTTTTTTAATCATTTCATCCAAGGGGAAAGCCACTAAAACGCAAGAGGTTACTGAGAGGACAATTAAAGAGCAGGATTAAAAAAAAGATAAAAATTACAAGAGACACTGTGTTCGAATTTTTTGAAGATCGTAGGAAAGCAAGAAAGACAATACTACGAGTGAGAGACCAACAAGAACTTGTAATACCAAAGATGAACTGAAGGCAAAATTTATGGCAACGTTCACCAACTTAAACAAGGAGACCCTCCAGAAGAGATGCAGGAGACTCTGAAGTCCACTGGAAGCCATCCTTGAAGCCAATGGCGATTTTATTGAAGAAATTTACTCAATATATTTTGGTGTCATTTTGGTAAATATATCTGTTAAAATGAGTTATCAGTGTTATTTTCTCTTTTGCGTCATTTAGACTACAATTTATTCATCGCACCCTGTATATCTGTTAAAATGAGATGTCAGTGTTATTTTCATTTCTTCTATGAAGACAGAGATTGACATTATCTTGAAGATTTTAGCATTAAGGAGAAGCATCCGTGCTGAAGTTTGTTTCACAAAATAGCAGTTCTTGGGAAGAAGATGAGTGGAACTTCCTCCATACAATTGGAATACGGAGGTAATTTGGGTATTTCCACACCGTGGAAGTCACATTGAGGGTTCTTTACAGTAAAGGCCTAAGCTGGTGATATAAACAAGAGAGCTCATCTGAACACTTGCTGATAGATAATGAACAGTACGAGAAACAAAGTCGATAAGATAGATAGGTAGGTAGGTAGGTAGATAGATAGATAGATAGATAGATAGATAGATAGATAGATAGTCATGAGCAGGGTCAGATAATATAATATAGATATTTATCTATTTATATTATCTATCTAACCTTGCTCATGAATATAAAAAGATAGATAGATAGATAGATAGATAGATAGATAGATAATGAACTACCTGACGGTGTTTTTTCGCTGTGGAAGAAGCATGGCGTGTCCTAGCATAAAGGTCTAAACTATTGGAACTTAAGAATGGAGCTCATCTGAACATTTGCTGATAGATAGATAGATAAACAACATGAGAAACAAAGTGGATGAGATAGATAGATAGATAGATAGATAGATAGATAGATAGATAGATAATATTCATGAGCAGGGTTAGATAATATAGATATTTATCTATCTATATTATCTATCTAACTCTGCTCATAAATATGAAAAGATAGATAGATAGATAGATAGATAGATAGATAGATAATCAACTGCCTGACGATGTTTCTAACGTCTTCACCCAAACTCTTTTCTTTACCATTTATTTATTAACTAGCCTTAACGACACTCTTCAGGCGGACTTTAGGTTAACTCTTGCAGACGGTTTTTGGGCGTTCGGCCCTTTATCTTCAGCGTCATATGCTTGCAAAATTTATAAGAATTTAGAAATAATAAAATTATTTTATCTTTATTCGACACCTTAATTCGGCATAATCTTTCTTCGTATACGCAACCGATTTCTGTAGTTTATTTACATTTATTTTGTGCGCAATTGTTATTTTCTTTTAAAATCACCATACTTTATTTAATATGTAATATTTCGAATACTTCACAGTAAATGCAAAGTGAGAACTTGGAGTGACACTGCGTTTGATTTGTGTTTTGATTATTTAATAAATCTCTGTGTCCCTTTTCTGATCCCCATTCGCAAAATACATTAAATAGTTTACTCGCTATTCTACGACACTTTTCTTGCCTTCAATATACGCTTTTGAGTATTAAATTCTCTAGTCTCTCTTTCTTCATTATGTGTCTCCGAAAGTTCAACTATTTCTGATTGTAAGTATACATTTTCATGATGTTCATAGTTTCTTAGAACCCCCACCCCCCAATTGCTCAGTGGCGTAATTGATAGCGCTTCCGTATGGGAAATCGGAGAGCCGAGTTCAAATTTCAATCGGATCTGTTACATCCACTTAAATCTGCCAGCGTTATCTGCGTCGTCATAGTTTTAAAAATAATATTTAAAATACGGGCTGGAGGAGACAAATCTCTTTTTTTAATCGTAGCATCCTAGAAACAAGACACATTTAGTAAAAGAGAAAATAATTTACTTAGACGGAAAGTTCTTGAAAGTGCTGCTAACAGATCTTGCCAAAATATAAATCTATTCCCCCCACCTCGAACTTTTTGTCCTTTTGTAAAAGATATACTCCATTTCCACGACAACATACATAGTCATAAAAATTTAAAAAACAATAAAAAACAGTTAAAGCAAACGATCTATTATTTAAAATAAATAATTCATCAAATTAAACTCAAGTAATAAATAATTACATTAATAATAATAAAAATGTAAATAAATATATGACAATAATTAAAAAAAAACTCAACAACCATAGTAAAAATATCCACTTAATTTCGTTGATTAGATATTGAATTACAACATTTAGCATTCACCATTTATTAGGTTGAAGAATACTTATAAGAGAAATGAAACAAACATATATTTATACTTGATTATTAATTAGTAATTAAATTCTAATATATTTATTTGTAAAAATACCGTATAGTCTATTAGTTATTAGAAGGAGGAATAGTACTTTAAATCTGTAGGAATTAAATTTAATTATTAGAAATATAACTTAGTCATATTTAAATATCCCTTTTAGAAAATCCTTGTGTATAAAAATATGAATTAAGCGGATAAATAAAAATACCAAATTTTTGTCATTGAAAACCCAGACGACACGCTGAATAACGGATGTCTATGTTTGTGAGCAGGCAGCCCCCACCCCATCTAAACTTAACCTGACTTTGTAAATAACATATATTTGATACATAAATTGTCTAGGGAAATTAAAACACAACCACACCTATTCAAAATAGATTGAATTTTCCTTAACCTTAACTCAAAATATTAAAATTACGCTTATAAATTAAGTAATATCCTTCCTAACATCGCTTGACAATGGAACGAAACTCTGGATTTTAAGTTTAAATTTTATAATTAAGTTTACAAATTTAGTGTCATTTTTGAAATGTAGAAATTTCTGTGTCAGGATGGAATCATATTTTTAAAATAGAAAATAATTATAATATTTTGCTCTACTGTTTGTATAGAGCACTATTTTTTAAAAATAAAAATAATTGCTAAGAACACTGGATTATAAATCTTACTTTTTTTTCTTATTAACATATATATATATTATATATATATATATATATATATATATATATATATATATATATATATATATATATATATATATATATATATATATATATATATATATACTTGGTGGGATGGATAAATTGTCGTCTAAATTGTACAAAAATGAAAATAACACTGACATCTCATTTTAACAGATATATTTACCAAAATTACACAAAAATATCTTGAAATACAAAAGAGAAAATTTATTCAATAAGATCGCCACTGGCTTCAACCACAGACTCCAGATGACTTTGGGATCTCCTGCATCTCTTCTGGACGGTCTCCTTGTTTAAGTTGGTGAATGCTACCATAATCCTTGCCTTCAGTTCATCTTTGGTATTACAAGGAGTTTTGCTGGTCTCTTGCTCAACTGCGAGCAAAAAACATAATAATCAAGGGGGTTGCAGTCTGGGGAGTTAGGTGGCCAAATGTAAGCGGTGATGTGGTTGCAGAAAGTGTTTGACAGTCATGACTACGTTCTCCTGTTTGTGTAGTAGCATGGTGCACAGTCCTGTTGCCAGATTTAGGGTCTTCCAGCAGCCACACTCTTGACGCATTCTGAGGTTTCCTCAATAAATTCGGAAGTTCTTTCTTATCAAAACGGAGTGAGTTTTCCAAGCTGCTGTACCTTTGTAACCACCATTAGACTCATCCAACTCTTTCCGAATCGCCGACACTGTCCTCAGATTAACACACATTTGCAGCTTCCGGCTCGAATGCCAAGTAGTACATCATGCCGTTTCCAAATTTCTGGCGGAATGAATTAAACTATCGTGCACTTTTTCTCATGAACGGTGCCCAACTGACCCCCACTATAATGTGCAGTCGACAAAATCGAAAACAGACAACGCGCATGCGCGAAATTAAATATTTAAAATGGCCACAATTTATTCATCGTACCCTGTATATAGCGTGTTGGTAA